AGCATGTGCAATTTAGCAGTTCATTTGGCACTGCATCACTGCAGACACAACAAAAACAACAACCACAGTACCTCAGCTGAAACGGAAAAGTTCGGTGCTTGTGAAACTTGGTCACTGGTTGGTGTCGGTCTAAATCACTTTAGTTTGGCAGCCATCACTTGTTGAGCACATCAACTGCCTAGTCTAACTTTGAGCTTCTGAACTGCATAAATCAGCAGAGTGATGGGAAATGCGTAAAGGTAATCATCAACGCCTACTCACACAAGCACACACCTCTGAAAACAACAGCAGCAGCAACAGCATTAGAGAGTAAAAAATGGATTTTAAAATTAGATGCGCCAGTCTGCCAATCAAATAAACTGACTGTTTACATTAATGTCTGTTAAAACGGAGTTTTTTTAAAATTCAATTAAAATTGTTTCATAGTACGATTGCTTTTAAATAAGGTCAATAGATTCTCTCTCCTTCCATCATCAGCTGCGGCGCCAGATATCTGTGCATGCAGAAGGCAAATCGAAAACGCTAATTACCAGCTAAAACGCACAGCCAAAAGCAATTTAGAAACTGGCAATTAGCTCTCTTTTTCTATGCTTGGATTCAGATTTAGCTTGATGATGCGGTGTTTAGGAACCGAAAAGCAACAAACAACATGCTGTACTGTACAACGGGGGAGCAACCCCATTCGAATGACATGCCAACTTTGCCAGTGTTTCGTTCTCACTTTCTGAACAAAACAATGCACCGGTCTTGTTTGCTCAGTGGAACATACCTCCACTCTAGTCATTACCAGCCACTATCAGCCGCATCTTCAGTTTGCCACCACGCGACACTAGAACGGAAATCTGGTTAGGATCTGAACTTTAAGCCTCAAAAGCTAGCAAAAGGGCACAGCGTCGCGGCATTGGCCGTGGGATGAGCCGCAAGAAAATCAGTTTTAGAAAAAATGGTGCTACTTCCGCAGCAGCAACAAACAAAGCTCTGAGAATAAACGCGCCATTAATCAGACCGTTTTTTACTGTGCCGCAGCTGCTCGCTGCCAATTATCGCCAGTGTTGAGTGCATCTTTCAGTCCCCCTTCTTTCTGCCTATATTTTCAAGCAGTTCATCATCACAGTCAGAAGGAGGCAGGAGTCAGGAGGAAGCGTCACATGAATGAATGGCTGATATATTTTCATCGTCTTGTTTGTTCAATGTATCTCTTCAAATCTTTTCAATTGACGCACACTTCAAAAGGTTTCAATAAATTTTAACTTTGAGACGTGTGGACTAAACGGTGGAAAAAATTTTGGAGAGAGGATTTTTCCATTCGTCTAGTGCAGCGGGTGATTTAGACACTGCCTGCACCAGAAGATGTTATTGACTTGGGCGACACGGCGAAACTGCCTCAACCCAAACTGCTCGTGCTCGAGGAGCAAAGTCAACTCGCCGTTTTCTTCTCTCTCCTGTTTTCGCGGGGAGTGACGTCAGTGGTGGTGCATCTGCTTAAGAAGCTAAAGAATACTGAAGAAGAGAGAATCGGTACATCAGCCAAAAAGACGTCGCCACAGCCGCAGTCGCTGGAGAAACAGCGCCTCTTCTGTCCTCCTCTTCTTCGTCTTCGTCTTTGTCGTCATCCTCTTCTGCATNAGGCAGCACGAGCAAAGTTAGCCCGCCGTTTTCTTCTTCTCCCGTTTCCGCGGGGAGTGACGTCATTGGTAGTGCATCTGCTTAAGAAGCTAAAGAATACTAAAGAAGAGAGAATCGGTACATCAGCCAAAAAGACGTCGCCACAGCCGCAGTCGCTGGAGAAACAGCGCCTCTTCTGTCCTCCTCTTCTTCGTCTTCGTCTTTGTCGTCATCCTCTTCTGCATATATAAGCGTATATAAGCTCATCTTTGTTTGTTTCTCTACAACCAGAGCAAAAAGACGCACATAAGCTTGCACCAACCTTTAATTTTAGCGAGATTTTTTTGTTTGTTATTACTCAACCACAACAACCTGATAAAATCTCCTTCTGATCATCACTACCAAAAGAGAGAACATGCTGCTCACCGACTCCAACGTGGAGTGCTGCACCAGCACTTCACCACCAGTCCCATCACCACCGCCATCACCCCCAGCACGCGACTCCTTTGACCGCATCAGTGACTACCTCTGCGAGGACATCCTCAGCCACCTCGCCCCTGAGCAGAAACTCCGTCTGGAGTGCGTCTCACAGCAGTTTCAGCGGACCATCTTCCGCCGGCAGCGTCGACTGGTGATCGCCCCGGGCACCAACGAGTGGTCACGGGTGAAGAACGCCATTCTGAAGCGCTTCGTGGGCGAGTACAATGTGAAGCACCGCATCGACGGGAAGCTCTTTGACCAGCTGCTGGCCAAGTTTCGCCACATCGACGACGTCGTCATCAACTACAACCTCGACACTGGGAACATGGACGAGCTCTTTGCCAGTCTGATGGAGCACTGCATCCGCATCCGCCGCCTGCACGCCAACTTCTTCAACATCAGCGAGCGGACGCTAGATCAGTTCGGACAGGTCTTTGGGCACAGTCTGCGGGTGATCAAGTCGAGCTACGTCAGCAACGGCAAAATTCCCTACAGCTTTGCGCTGCTCAAACACTGCTCCAACCTGGTTTCCTTAAAAAGTCACGAGTTTCTCAGTGAGCAGCTGTGGAACAACGTCTACAACACCATGGTCGAGGAAGAGGAGGAGGTGGAGGATGACGAGGAGGAGGATCCGCAACAACAACCTCAACCCCAACAACCTCAGCAGAAGGAGGTTCTGCCCAATCTCAAATCGGCGCAGCTGAGTGTGACCAGCGAGGAGGGCGTCAGCCAGCTTGAACGCTTCTCAGATCTTTACATGAACAAACTGGAAAAGATCCAGGTAGAACTGGTGGACTACATCTACCGCAGCCACTACCTGGTCAACTTCATCTTCCCACTTGGAATCTGCAAGTTCCGCAACCTGCGCCAGTGCCTGCTCACGCTCAAGTACAACGGCGGCTACGACGCCGACTTTGTGTGGATCAACAACGGCCTGAGCGGCATCGCCCAGGACTGCCCGCTGATCTGCCACCTGGGCATCGACTTCATCGGCCACCAGGACTTCTTCATCAACAGCTGCCTGCAGGCGCTGCCCTGCTTCAAGACCCTCCCTCGCCTGTCCCTCTCCGTGAGCATGTACAACAAGGGCCTCGCCTTCCCGCCGATGCCCTCCGTCCAGCAGCTGGACCTCGCCTATCCCCGCCTCTACCAGTGCACCCACCTGAAGCAGCTGGTGCAAAGCTACCCGGCGGTGACCACGCTGACGCTCAGTTGGATGTACTTCTTCAACGACGTCCTCCTCAACTCGCTCATCGGCATGAAGAAGCTGCAGAGGCTGAAGATCGGCGGCCTCTGTCCGCCGGACGTCACAACGAACGGCCTGACCACCTTCCTCAACACGGCGCCGCAGATTCGCTCCGTAGTCTTCGACAAGAAGCCCAAGGTGACCACCAAAACGGTGGAAATGTTGGTGGAGTTTGTCGGCAAGCGGCCCTCCGTCTACTACGACTTTGACTTCTGTCTGCGTGACGGAGAGCCCGAGGAGAGGCGGCAGTTTGAGCAGTACTTCAGTCGAGTGCCGCTGCCCAAGAATATGGCCATTCGTTGAAGGCACTTTGGCATTCGAGTTACCAATCTTTCAACTTTATTTACTTTCCACACACACACACACTTGAAACACTTTGTTTTTGTACCATTGTAATTCTCTTCATTTCTTCAGTCATCCCGACACATTCGAAATGCTCACTGTTCTCATGTATAATCCCCTCCCCTCAGCAACTTTGCCATAGGCTTGGCTGTGATGTAATTAGCGAATAATAATAAAGCAAGTCTTCTTCTTTGGCCCATTCACTTTGCCATTTCAGCAGGGCAGCTTTATATTTAGCAAAGAAAAGAGTTGAGTTGAGTTGAAAACGGGAGCCACCGCCACTGCTGTCAGCGAATGCCGATGAATGTGATGCGGAACGCTCACACAGACAGACAGACAAAGACAGACGCTCACCAATTCGGGCACAAAGAGTGATGGCGATGGAAGAAAAGTGAGTGCACAGACACACACACTGTTGTACAAAGTGGCAACTGGTGCCACCAGAATTTAGGTCAATGAATCACACAACAGTGCTGTCAGTGAAAAATGTTTATATTTGTCAGATTAGTGTGACAGGACAGAGAGTAAGAAAAAGAAAGAGAGAGAGAGAGAAAAAGGGTTTGCTGTTTGTTGTGATCGACTTACATTGTCTCGAGGTGTGTACTGCGATGCTGTTGATGTGCTTGAGCGCGTGCTTGGGGCTTTCACTGGCGGGGATGATGGCGGCAGCTATGATCACTGTGTGTGCACTACCACCACCACCGCTCAATACGTCTTGGCAGCCGTTCATTTCTGGTGACGGTCGTTGCTGCGGGCGACAGAGTCACACCAGCAGAGAGTCTATGTGCAGTGAACTGTGTCGAGGCGTATCAAAGCATCGGGGAGTCACATGACAGGACCATTTGGTGGAAAGGGAGAGGGAAAAGTGCGGGATTAAATTGTTTCAGAGTGTCTGCTTCTAACTCCTCACAAGCTGCTGCTGCTGCTCCTGACAGAGTCTGCTGACTCGAATGCGTACAAGCAAACACACAGTGTCGCTCTCTGCCTAAGTGTCACATTTAGCACCTCTCACAGAGTAATGCGGACAATGACTACTGAGCAAATGGAGAGAAAGAAAGGAAGTAGTGATATCAGTGTCACCGTTTAGCGCGGCTTCACAAAAAAAAGTTGAAGTTGGCAATGGTATTGCATTGGCGTGCCTGTGTGTCTCTGACTAACTGAATTATTGCTCAGGTGTAATGTTAGAGAAGAAAGATGATAAAAAGTCGAAAGAAGGAATGAACAATGGCGAACCAATTGAACGTGGAACGGATATGTCGACAAGAGAAGAAGAAGAAGGGGAGTATCGGCGGAATTTGGCGTCTTTGCTTGATAAAAAAACCAATGGTCACTTTGTTTCTTCAACGGCATGCGAAAACTTTTTCAACCACTCAAAGTTATCAGTGCTGTAGTCTGTAATGAAAACAACAAGGCATAAAGAAAATAGAAGCGACTTGAGCCTCGATGACTTACTGAAGTACTCTAGCCCGATAAAGTCGTTGTAGTGAGGAGCCAGTTTCTTCAATATAAAATCGTGATTGAGCTCTCCCTCATCAATTGGGTTGTCGCGCAGAGGTACCTGCGATATTTGCACGTGCCCAATGTGACTAGACAACAGCTGTAAAAAGGTAGATTGAATTAGCAAACAGATCACACATTTCAAAAAGTTGCACTATGCTTACTTCCAAGTAATGAAGAATGTTTCCGTGAAGGCGTTGAAGATGATAAGTGTCGAACCTGTTTAGAGAAGATTCAGTTATATGTTATTGAAGGTTATAAAGTAACTTACATGATCTTCAAGTTTGGTTCATTCAGTTCCTTGACCAACGCCAGAGCAGTGTCGTAAGAACGTAGGTAGTAATTCGGTCGAGTTGATAAAGGTTCAATCAAAACGGTGACATTGAGTTTGCTCATATATCGTGCACCTTTCACCAGCAGCTGTTTCACTTCAGCACTTCAACAAAATGCCCCAAATTAAACCAGACTTTCATCACCGACAGTATTGACACTTACAGTTTGCTCGGCTCATCGATGTTGGCGTCAACAAGGAGTAGATGGACTTTTCGGGCATTCAATGCCAACACGTAATCACCAGTTGTCTTCAAGATAGAGTCAAATTCCTCAACAGTCGGCATCCGATCCTGGTACTTATCAGCAATCGCCGGGCTATTGATCAACACAAACTCTGGTCGCGATTCAGCATTGAGCTTCTCCAATTCACCCTTCCACTCCTCAATCTTGTTCTTGTACGGATCCTGAGCCTCGACCGCCTTAAACTGGTAGTCTTTTCTGGAGTGATGATAACAAGTTAGTTGCACCGACAACCGTACAAAAACAAACAAATAGCGCTGAAAGAGCACTTGCCTTTTGAGAACTTCTCGAAAGCTCTCCACATGATCGGGAATGTCTAGAAAAAGTGAGGAGATGTTGGCGGAAAACTTCAAGTTTCGGGTCAGCTCAAGGAGACCCATTTTGGCGAGGTTCGGCATCGCAGCGGCGGTGATGGTTGATAAGAGTTATAAGATAAGGTAGCAGGCGGTCAAAGAGGTGAATGAAGGAAAGAAACTGCAGTGCATTGATTTCCACTGGCATCTCCTCTCTCACTCTCACTCTCTCGCGTTATTTGTTTAGCATTTTTTTTATTTTGGCGATGTGATTCATAGACGATGTGACGGAACACTGGAGCGGTACTTTTGAAGTTCCCGCACCACAAAAAGTGTCCAAATCAGTTTATAGCAAAAATATTTGTTGAAAAAATAATGGGGAACAGGCGTTTTTTAAATGTCAGCATGACTACTCAACATTCCAACTACCGGCATCCCAAATGATGCCATAGAGGCTGTTGTTGTCTTTGAACTTGCTCATCTGCCTGCCCAGTCGGGACTCAGCTCGGGCGTCGCTAGATGTGTAGATAAATCGGTCTAGCAGATTTCGATAACCTCGACCAATGGTCACAAATGGCCGCCTCTTCTTACTCTCCGGCAGTCCGTGCCCTGGCGAACTGCTCAACATTTCCCCAGCACCCTTATCCGCCTTGCTCGTCTTTCTCTTGAGGCTGCTACTTCGCTTGCCAAACGGCCAAACCTGATGTAGACTTCGAAGTGCATTTCGCCCTACACTGGGCTTCTCCTCTTCAAATGACAGCTTCACCTCCTCAAGTCGAATCGGCTCTGAGGTGACAGGAGTTTCTGGAAAAGGAGCAAAGTTATCCGGAAAGGTGATGATGAACTTCACTTCGTGACTGTACGGCCGGAAGACGGTGACCGGCTTCAACGAGTGTGACTCGGCGACGATAATGCAACCTGAATTGGTGCCAACGTACAGCTCCTCATTGTCTTCATTGCAGGCGATGGCTGTCACCTGACAGCTTCCAGCTAAAATGAAAGTTTTTTTTATGAAATTCGGAACAAAAATACTTTTAAACAAACTTACGCTTGAGATGGTCTTCAATGCTGATGGACATCAAACTCTCCGAGCAAGGTGCCAGCTTTGAGCAGTCCAACCGGTGAACTATTTGCCGCTTGTAGGCGTCCCACTGGTAGATGATGAAACCTATATACCAAACAAAATTAAACTTGTGTTCACTCAATCTTAGTCAGAGAGAAACTTACCAGTGAAAAGAACAGACCAAATGAAGGGCTCAGTAGAGGAGGCCATGAGCATAAAGACGTCATTGCGGTCTGCCAGCGGCACACTGGAGCCAATGTAAATGGCGTGCAGTGACGACCTCACAAAGCCGTCATCGTAGTGGTCAACCACTATTTGATTGCGCACAAACATGTCCTCCGGTCGCACCTGCACAATGGCAATCTTCCCATCCGGCTGGCCGCACCAGATCTCCACGCAGTGCTCACTGGTTCGAGAGCACCTTCCCTTCTCCGTATCACTAACCGTGGTGAACTTGTCCATGTGAGTGATGCAGAGGATCATCGACCGGTTATTGTCCACCTCCTTCACCTCCAGGTCACTGGAGCGAAAGTAGGTGCGCGTAATGGATTCCTCCAGTGCCGCCTGCAACTTGTCCAGTGAGAGGAGCCACAGTCGACCGCTGGTCGAGCCTATGACCACCAACCGCGCCTTCGCCAGCCAGCAAATCGTCTTGATGGCCGTCAACGAGGCGGGATTCTCAAAGTCCAGCTGAATCATGCAGATGGCCTTGAACTGGTGGTCCGCTGCTGAAGTGCTGCTCCGCTCGTCCCCACCATTATTCAGACTGTACAGGTGGAGACGAGCCTGTGAGTCACCGAGCCAGAGCTGTCCATTCACTACACAGGCGCTGATGATGGTTCGATTGGCCAGATTGTCGCACGTCAGCCTGTGCCCCGTGGTGCTCCACTTGTGGTTGCCGCTGCTCTCCACTAGGTCAATCTGCTGGCCCACCTTGCTCAGACACACGCTAAAGTTGATGCCCTGCTTGGCACTGCTGCTGCTGCTGTTGTTGCTGTTTACCACCAGCTCGCCTGAATCGGCCCCGCCGCCCAGGCCGGCCTCCATCTTCTCGTAGCCAGTGGCGCAGATTATGGCGTACTGCTCGGGAAAGTTGATCACATCGAGGAGGGAGCAAAACTCAGGCGATGAGATGATGGAGACCACCTGGGAGATGGTGGGCCGCTCACTGGGCTCCTGCTCCCAACAACGCACCATCAGATCGACAAAGGACTCAGGGAGACAGTGCAGGTCACGCTGGCTGAGCGCCGGCCTGATGCCATCGAGAATGCTCTCCCGAATGGCAAACTCCTGCCCTTCAAAGGGAAAGCGCAGTGTGCAGAGCTCGTACATAAACATGGCAAAGGAGAAGCAGTCCACCTTTTCAGTGTATTCCTCCTCGCCATTGTGGAGCATTATTTCAGGTGCCTAAAAAACAACAAAAAGTTAACAAAAAATGCAAAACTACAAAGAAAAAATCATCTTACCATGAACCCTTCAGTGCCGCCAAATCCTTTAGTGCCTGTGGGCAGTGAAGACCTCGAGATGCCATAGTCAGCCAGCTTCAGATGCACTTCCGCATCCAGGGTGGAAAGGGCGCTGGGAAATGACCAGACGAGGACATTTTCCGACTTTAGATCGCGGTAAATAATGTGGTGCTGATGGAGGTACTCCAGCGCCTTGGAGATCTGCAGAAAGGCCTGCTGGAGAACGTGGGCGGCGATGCGCACGCCTGAACGCCGGTACGCCTTGGTGTGCGTGTCCAGAGAGCCCTGAGGGGCCAGCGTGAGCACCAGCGCCAGCGGTTTCGGACAGATGCCAATGCAGGAGGCAATGTTGGAGTGCTTCAGCGAGGCGAGAATGTTCAGCTCAGTACGGGCAGTACAGTAGGCCTTGCAGGCGTACTGCAGCGGATCGCGCTCCCACTTGGACTTCATCGCCGAGTAGGCCTCCAGGTCGTGCTTGCGAATGCCACTCGACCACTGCTCCAGGCGAATCGGCTGCAGCAGCTTCAGCGCCACCTCAAAGCTCTCAAAGGCGGCGGAGGCGGTAGTTGTAGTGGTCATGTCCTCGGTGGCCGAGTTTGGCAGGTAGAACTTCGAGTTGGCCACCGAGCGCTTGGTAAAGTGCGGCGGCGACAGGGCGTCGTACCTAAAGTGACTGGTGGACTTCCGCTTCGGACTGTAGAACGCTCGAAAGACAAAGCCAAATGAGCCTCGACCTAGTAGCTTACCGAAGCGTAGCTGCTCTCGCTCAATGCAAAAGTTTTCCTTCAGATCGGCAAACATCACATCCGGCGCCAGTTTGTCCATTCGAAGGCGGGCATGTGCCGGGCACTCCAGTCGGCGGTCCTCGTACACCGCCAGAATGCACTCCTCCACCATGAAGGCGTACACCGGGTGGTACATTGACACCGCTGCTGAGGTCGGTGTGGCGTCCTCCGCCACCGAGATCTCCGTGTTCAGCGTGGAGATGGCCGAGTCGTGAAACTCCTGCTTCACCTGCGACTGCAGCGTCGCCTTCTTCACCTCCGACTTGTAAAAGTCCACCAGGTTGGAGTCCACCTCGGCGGTGTCCGGCGACAAGACTGCCTCAGACTTGCAGATCTCCAGTTGATTTGCTCCAGAAACTTTGTTTTGACTAGCNGAAGTCCACCAGGTTGGAGTCCACCTCGGCGGTGTCCGGCGACAAGACTGCCTCTGACTTGCAGATCTCCAGTTGATTTGCTCCAGAAACTTTGTTTTGACTAGCACACCTGCTCTGTGTTGTGTCGCTCGTCTCCTCAACAAAGCACTGCATGCACAGCGTACAGGGCACGATTCGAGTGATCAGAAAGCGGCCGTCCGATGTGTGAATGAAACGAGTGCCTAGAAAAGTCATAAAATCATTTCAACATTTTCGATTTAAAGAAACACATTCAACTACTCACCTAGGGACGGGTACCAGTCTTCGAGCAACGTATCAATGTGTTCCACCAGAATGACTAGAAGTTTAGTGAGCATTTCCATGTTAGGTTCGAGGATGTACTGGTTTCGATGACGAGATTCACTTTTGATATGGTTGTCGTTGTTGTTTTTCTCCTCCTCCCCTTCAGCAACATCGACAAAAGTCTCCACCTGCAGCGACTGATTGGGCAGGTAGATCTCAATCAGCGCTGAGCCCTGCGGCGCAATGTACACCTCCGACCAGCTGTTTGACTTGAGGGAGCTAGTGTCGTGGCCGCTGGCGGCATGAGCTTGAGCAGAATGATGGCCACCCTTGCCGCTCTGTTCCGTCTGCTGACCCAGGTAAAATTTGATTCGCTGGTAGTCATACGGATAGAAGGACTTGCTGGTGAACGAGGTGCTGATGGCAGGGGCAGTCGCACCAGCGGTGCCACCACTGGCCGTCGGGCTGGAGGCGTTTCCACTCAGCCCGTACTCCTTCACCCGCAGGAGAAAGGTGTCCAGGTAGCAGAGGCCAAAGCCCGTCTGCCAGCAGTGCCACTTGGCCTGGGCACCGCCCAGCAGCCTGCCCAGCACCGGGTCGGCCTGTGCCGAGGGAGGGATGTGGTAGAAGGAGCGGACAATGTCCACCACCGATTCGTCGGCGAGCATTCGGGTGATCAGCCGCGACCAGAAGCCACAGGGCACGTAGGAGAGGAGGAGCATTCGGTGGATGGACTCGCTGTGACGTGCTAGTGCCGTGGCAATGCAAATGGGTTGAGAATCTGCCTCAAGATGGTGATCATCATCAGCGTTAAATGCCGGTGTCGCCTCCTTGCAGGGACTTTTCCGCTTCAAACCTAACTCCTGAAAGTGAAGTTGGTTTTTCAGCTCAAACCGAGACAGCTCGGCGTTGTTCGTCGATGACCGACGCATCTTCAGCCGAGAACGTAGAGGAATCTATAAGTGAAACAATTGTAAATTTTGAAAAATTTGTGAGTTACACAGACCATAATGTCCGACCCAGGGTGGCCCGACTTGAGCTGCTCCTCCGTGGGCAGCAGCGACGGTATGAGCAGCGTCCGATTGTCCCAGGTAAGCGCCAGCTCAAACTTGTTCAGCAAACTAATGAGGTAGTTCTGCACGTCCGCCGGCGCCGAGCTGCTGTTCTTGAAGAGCTGCAGCAGGTGCTCCGTCTTCATGACGCCATTGCGGGCAAAGGGGTTGATCTCACGAATGGTCACCACGTGGGCGAGCACGTCACACAGCCACTGCGGGTCCAGAAAGTACAGGTCCTTGAGGTTGGCGTCCTCGTAGTGCAGCATGACGCCATTTTCGTGCAGGAAACGCGTCGCCTGCTGCAGCTCGGCAAAGTCGCGAAAGGCGAGGCTGTGCCGTTCCTTCATCGCCCGCACCACCTCACTCCGATACTGCTCCGTGTGCAGAACGGGTTCCGCTCCGGCAGCCTTTCGCTCGCTGGCCAGCAGGGAGACCACCTCTTCCAGGGCGAGGTACGTGGCGGGCACCTTCTGCTCCAGCAGGCGGTCCTTGTTGCCCGAGGTGCGCATCTCCGTCGCCGTCTCGTATATGATGTTCGCGAGGAGGCGAATGTTGTGGCGCGTCTTGGTGCTCACCTCGATGGAGGCCACCACCCGGGGCAGGCCTCGCTTGTCCGCGTCCACCGAGTCGGCCATATAGCGATCGCGAATCATCTTCTGCAGGTCAGAGGAGAAGAAGGGCGGAAAGTACTCCTTGACGAGGTCAAAGTGCGTGCCGATAATGATCACCGGGGAGTTCGGGGCCCGCGACTGGATGTTCAGCAGCCAGGAGTGCAGCCCGTCCACGCCCCGCTCTCCGTCGGTGATCTTCCACACGACCAGGTAGATGGAGCGCTTCGAGAGAAAGTACTGATGGGTGGCGTAGTACTCCCGTTGGCCGCCAAAGTCCCACGTGCGAAAGGTGATCGGCCCAATGTTCTCCCCCTNCTTCGAGAGAAAGTACTGGTGGGTGGCGTAGTACTCCCGTTGGCCGCCAAAGTCCCACGTCCGAAAGGTGATCGGCCCAATGTTCTCCCCCTCAAAGTTCATCGTACTGTTTGGTGCTGCCTGAAAGGCGCTGACTCTCGTTCGCGACAGACTGCGCTCTCGGTCCTTCAGACCTCGCAGCGGCT